ATCCTCTGTTTTCTATGATTGATCATGGGAAGAATAAGGGGCTTTTAGTACCTTAAGGGGAGCCCTGGTGGTGCAGTGGTTAAGAGATTGGCTGCTAACCCAAAGGTCAGCAGTTTGAGTTCACCTGTGGCTCCTCAGGAGGAAGATGCAGCAGTCTGCTTCCCTAAAGGTCTACAGCATTGAAAAGACGGCAGTGGGTTTGGTTTTTTGGTTTTAGTACCTTAAGTGAGTCACTGGGTGATTCAAAAATCTGTGAACATGGACTAGTCACTCATTATTATTTTTTTTTTTTTCAGGAGCTGAGCTAGAATTCTCTCACTGCTCTGATCTGAGCCAATTTACTGAAATGAAAAAGGGTGGTGTGGGTCAAGGGCGAGGGCACATTAGATATCACATTAGCCGTTTGGTCAATGGCTGCTAACCAAAAGGTGGGAGGTTTGAGTCCACCCAGAGGCACCTGGGAAGAAAGGGGTGATCTGCTTCTGAAAAATCAACCACTGAAAACTCTATGGAACACAGTTCTACCTTGACACACATGGGTCACCATGAGTCGAAATCAACTCAAAGACAACTGATTGTAGTACTTTAAGAGTAGTTGTTTCTTTGCGATTGGAGGTTGTATATTGAGATCACTGGGACCTGCAGCACTTTGGGACTCAGTGCATGGATGCACCAGAAACTAAAACAAAACTAGTCACCAGGTTAGCTTGAGCTTTGTAAGAAAAAGTAACTGATTTTATTGAGTCAATTCGGGTCACAAAAGCCCCCTTTCTAGTAGCAAAGGCTAGCTTGCCTTCCGACACACAGGTACAAAGGAGGCCAACTGCTGGTTGCCATTACACAATATGCCTTCCTGGAGTGGAAGGGGAGGGGTTTAACCTCAGGACCTGCAGGGTTTCTAATCACACCCTCTTCTCCTTCCATGTACACTGTGATTAGTCTCAGTCTTTGTTTCCTTCGGACACGTTGCCCTTTTCACTCTTCTCAGCCTGCTCAAGCTTTTTGTTGCTATAGTTGCTGTCAGCCTGGCTGGTGAGAAGCCAGGCCTGGAGGAAATAAAGGGTCCCGGCAAGAACATGGAAGAAGACCCCAACACGGTCAGCTCCTCACACCTCCCACAATGTAACTGGGCCTCTGTCAGGTCACTGTGGGGCCACCGGAGACCTGGTTAGCAAAAAGTGATACTGCTCTTGGGATATAGCCTCCAAATGTGTAGGAGCTGAGAGAAGGAGTGCAGCAGCAAAGTCTTTAGGGTCAGGTTCAAAGCAGCCCTCCCAGGAAAACATTCTGAAAGTAGCTGGGTTCTTGTCTGCTTGGATTAAGCAGAGAAAATCAAACCTTGCTTTCCATTGCACTGTGTAAAACCTCAGAACAAGTCAACCTCAGAATGCTCACCCTCCAAGAGATAACTGAGACACTAGGAGCAAGGGCCAGAGCACCAAGCTGGCAAGTTGTTGAGTCTCCTGGGAGCTGCCTAGCACCGCCTGGAGTTGCTAACTCTCTCCCACTATCTACTTGTTGTCTTTCGCAGCACAGATGTACTAGGATGTACCTGGCCCTGGTCTTGCCTCCAGAGCCCTGGCCTCAAGGAGTGAGCCGTGGTCTCTGTTAACAGCCAGAGGAAGGATGTAAATAGTGAGCCTGTCCCTCGGGCGAAGGGAAGCTTGGGCACTGACTTCTTCGTCCTGATCTCCTTAGTCTTTTGAGTTCCAGCCTAAAGATACAGGTATCTCCCTTTGAACGGATCCCGGTGCTAGGGACTGGATCAAAGCTGTAGCTACAAAAGCGGTAAAGCAAAATTCTCCTCCCGGTTTTCGGCAAAACATTAGGGGAGGCAAGGAAAGGAGGCTCCGATGCCGAAAGTGAGCCCGAGGGGGTGGGGGCCAGAGCTAACGCACACGCTGCCAGGCATGGAGCCACGATGACCCGTTGGGTTGTTTTTTGGCTTTCGGTCAGGTGGCGCTGAGCGGAAATCAGTCTTTCGAGGACCATCTACTTTATCTCTGCGGGTGACCAGCTCATGAACCTTCTCCCCTACCTTGCTTCCCGGGCCGGGAGAGCGCAGGAATTAGGGAATCGCGCCGCACACCAGTTGTTAGCGCTCGCCCTTGCGACCTTGACCAAGCTCGGCGGTTTATAAATGGATGGCGGCGGGAACGTCCCCAGCCAGGGGGTTTATGGCGATCCGCTTTCTGGAAAGTCGCCAGAGAAAAAGTGGAACAGGCTTGCGCTCTTTGGGATGGAGTTTACGCTAATGAACCCAGGTTAGCGGAGACCGTGAAATGAGAATCTTTGTGACCTCAGATTTACGGTGAACCTGACTCCACCGAAACCCGCTGCGCGGCGGGAAAGGCACGGCGCAGTCCACGGCGGGCGCGGTCCAGGCCAGGAGTAGCCCTGGCGCGTTCCTGCCGCTGCGGAGCGGGAGGGGGCTTGGTAGCTCAGCGCACATAACAGGCATGGTGTTACCTTCTCTGTTTCAGCTCTTTGCAGGCCTTTTTTCATCGCCCGAATATACCTGTAATCCTCTTGTTACACATTTTAAAAGCTTAAAGTTACCTACCCTACTTGGTTATGCACACCAAGGATGATTCTATTTTAAGCGCAAGTGTATGTGCGCGCATCCCTTCCCCCCCCCCCCCCCCCGCCTCCATTAGTGTGGACGAGAATTGAGAAGCAGCACGAGGTCCGGTTTGCCAAGCTCTGATCACTGCCCACAAGAGCGGATCAAGTCTCCTCTCCTTTTAGTGGGCCCTGGGTTCCTAAAGCTTCACCCTGGGGCTCCAGAGGAGTCCCGAGTGCACGTTACCACCCTCCATGTGGAAGTGGAACCAAGCAGGTGTTGTACTCTTCCTGGGCCATCTCTAGGAAAGGGTGTGGTTCCTAATGAAGATTCAGTTTCAGTTCAAGTCGGGCCCTTGAAGCTGAGAAGAAGAAGAAAAGACGAGAGGCTGAATTTCAGCTCAAGAAGCCTGACCCCAGAGTCATCTTGGCCTCTCCGGTTTGGAGAGGGGGCAGATGGTGCATCTGGGGAGGGAACCACTCTCCTGTTCTCTCAGCCAACTACTCGGGAAGAAGAGAGGGGAAGAAACAGGCAGCCGGATTTGCTTTGGAAAATCATTGCCACTGTAGGCATCCGAAGTAGATTGTCACTCGTGGGGGTAACTTTCTAATGGTATCCAGCAACACTGATGGTGCCTTAAATCCTAGCAGCTTTGTCACAGACCCAAGGGTACTACCAGCAGAAAGTGCAGTGCCTAGGCTCAGCATCCCAGAATCAACCATCCCCGAAGGAAGCACCTTCAGCCAAGAGGACCGTTCTGAGGCCCGCATGTCTGTTATGAATGCCCACTTTCAGAATCACTGTGTCAGGATCTGCCTGCCCTCAGAAGTTAAGGCTGAAGGATGGGGCATAAACCTAGAACAGTGAAAAGAGAAGGAGTGTTCAAGCCAGTACAGTAATTTATATGGTGTGTCAAGGGCTTTGTGCCTCATGGTATGCATATCTATGTGTTTTGTGTCCTTTCCTCCCCACAGTGGCTTCCCTGTGTTGTCCACTTGACTTTCTGTTTTAGAGCTGCACTGATGTTTTAAGTGCTCTGGCCGTGGAAGAATTCCGATCCTGAAACCTCTACATGAGTTTTATACACTTTTTATTATTGAGATACGATTTCTTACGTGGGTATTCAATAAGATAAGACCATATCTTTGCATCAACCTTGGCTTATGCAAATTGACCTTTGTCGGTCTATATCAAGGCCTTTTCATTAAAATAACCAATGCATAATGTACCAGAGCGTAGTCTAAAGCTTCAAATATGTTTTCAGACAGAAACATTCCAAGAATTCGAGTCAGGTATGTTTCTCAGATAAATGACAGTCGAGGCGTTGCATACAGGGAAATTCTCAGTTCTCAGGTTTCCCGAAGTTGAAATCCAGCGCGCTCGTCATTAATCATGCATTGGGGCTGGTACTTCAGTCAGTGGCAGCTCTGAGTAAGCTGAAGCGAGCCATTAGCTAATCCTTCCTGCCACTAGGATCACGGGGTGAGAGAGGACTACTGGGCTGTCAGTCACACGTGTTGGTGCGCAGACTCCTGCCCCTCTTGCCGGGGTCCGAGCGCCGGTGTGCATATTCAGTCACCCTATGAGACATAGACCGAGAGCTTCCCAGAAGTAAAAAACAAACGCTGCATAACGTTCAGCACGACCAAGAGTTTCCACCAGGAAAGGAGTTCGAATCCGGGAGTATCGCTCAGGGTAACTCTCTAAGCGCTGTAATAAACCCACTCTTTGGTTGCTTAATACGTCAGTAACAACAACAACAACCTCCAGCAACAACAAAAACAGTCTTCTCCCCCAACCGCGCCGCGCCAAAACTTTGCCAAGTTGGGCTTCGAATCCCTAGTTCGTTCGCCTCCGAAAGCACTTGGCGCGGTGGGATCCCTCGGCGGGCCCGAGGTTCCTCAGAGATGCCCGGGAGAGGCACTGTGATAGCGGAGTCGGCGGGGGAAAGGGAAGAGAACCTGGCAATCGGGTCCTGGTTGGGCAAGAGTGCGTTGCTGGGACGCAGGTGTGTGGCGGAGGTGGGAGAGGACGAGGAAGGAGGGAGAGATGCTGTCGAGCATCCATTTCTACATTGCACTCCCTACTCCCGCCGCTACCCTTGGAGGACTCAGCTGCTTCCGCGAGGCTAAATTGTGCGCGGCGTTGGCCCTGGTTAGGGGGTGGCCAGGCTACGCGTGAGAACTGCCGGGGTGCGTGGCCCCGGTGTGGGCGCACCCAGCGTCCGGAGTGCAGCTTCGCGCCGCCAGCTTCTCCTCCCACTCACTCTCTCCCATCTCCTCCCTCCTCTAAACACCCCGCCCCTGGGGCTGCGGGGCTCCCTCCCTGTACCGGCCAGTTGAGTACACAAAGCGGCGGGTGAGGGGAAGCTTCGCTGGCGTGCACCGAGCAGTGAGATCACTGGCGTTATAAATATCCCAGTGCCAGCGCTGAGATCCGCTCGGGTGGCCTCTCTCTCTCCCTCTCTTTCTCCTGAGGCTATGTCCACCCCGTGCGGCAAGGGGGGCAGCGCCAGAGGCACGCCGCCGCCCGGGGGCTACAGAGCCCAGGACCAGCCCTGCAAGATGCACTTAGGACCCCCGCGGCTGGAAGAATGAGCTTGTTCTTCCTCCTCCTCCTCTTCCTCAGCCACTTGATCCTCAGCGCCTGGGCTCAAGGAGAGAAGCGCCTCGCCCCCAAAGGGCAACCCGGACCCGCTGTCACTGATAGGAGCCCGGGAGGCGCCAGCCCCAGCCTGAGCTGTAGTAGCACCACGTCTTCCTTCTCTTCCTCCTCTACCTCCTCTTCCACTGCGGCTACTCTGGGCAACCAAGGAAGCGGCTCAGAGCAGAGCAGCTTCCAGTGGAGCCCCTCGGGGCGCCGGACCGGCAGCCTCTACTGCAGAGTGGGCATCGGTTTCCATCTGCAGATCTACCCGGATGGCAAAGTCAATGGATCCCATGAAGCCAATATGTTAAGTAAGTTGCTCGCTCTTCTGGAAAACCGGTCCTAGGCGGGTGGCAGGAGACTGGGGAAGGGGAGCAGTTGGTCACTCCATGGGCCACAAGCGCCCCTTTCTGAGCCCTGGCCAATGGAACCTAGCTGGTCCCCGAAGCAGCCGGGAGGGTTGGGCAGAAACGCATTGATAGGACGCTCACACATGTACTCCTCTTGTGGGCAAGAGGAATGGCGATTTCTTAGGTGTAGGTTACCCGGAGACTGATCACACTCAGGTACCTTGTTTTCGGGTTTTCCCTGGCCCCAGAGAAGAACTTCCAGCCGGGTTTTTCCTGGCCCCAGAGAAGAACTTCCAGCCGTGCCTGGAGGAAAAACAAAAATCTCAATCCTTTTCTTTTTTCAGTTTCTGTTTACCGTCTGCTTATGAACTAGGCTGACATTTTTTTTTATTAAGCATTAAAGTGCATCCCTTTCTCTTCCCCATGACTGAATTTGTTTTTCTCCAAGAACCAAACCTCAAAAACCTTCCCTCCAACCATTACCATAATCCTAAATTTATATCTGTGTTTATACATACACATACATACATTCTAGGGCAGACTAGACATCACCTGCTTGGAAGAAGACAGTGATCTGGAAAACTGGACACGTTTGGAGAGGAGACGTGATGGACATTGCAAATTATTAACTACAGAGTTGGGCTTAGCAACGTTTAGTATCTTAAATTCATGGCAGCACCTTGTTAGAAAGAGTGACCACTCTTTAGTTCCCAAGGACAATTAGGGGGAGGTTCTTTATTTTCGAAGAAACTCAGAGGACGTTCAGTTCGGTACAGGTATAAATTGAATAGGATTATTTTTAAACCAAGTTTTACATTTTCTTTCGTATCTTTCTCTTTAGTGTGCTCTCTTTTCCTCCTTTCTCATTTTCTCTTCCCTGCCACCCAATCTGCGTTTCCAGGCCATCACAAACGTTCTGCAGGCTCGTCTCACTGCCTCTAGTAGCTGAGGGGGAGATGATTTGGGTTGTGTGAGTGGTTGGGGCGATCTCTGCCTCACTTTTCCTCTATGGGGCCAGATCGCTCTTCCCAAAGGGTCAGTCCACCAGACAGAACCACAGAGGGGCCTCTGAGATACCCAGGGAGAGAGGAAACGCGGCCAGGAGATAGCGCTGCACACCTTTACTCGCCCTCTAGTGTAGCTCCCTGTAGTACCTAATTTTCTCCGCCTCAGACTTATGACCCCAAGGGCCACTGGACTTCTTCCCCAGGCTCCGGAGGAGTGCGGGCTCCACTGTCGGGCTGGCAACCTGGCAACCCCCAGGAGGAGCCGGGTTGGAGGCGCGCAAGTCTGTGCGCAATGCCTCCTGGGGTTGTGACATTCTGGTGTGGAAGACCCGGAGGTTCACGCAGGGAGAGGAGAGGAGAGGGTTCACGTCCTCCCTCTGTCCCTGTCTAGTCTTTCGGGCTGTGAGGCTCCAGCTGGTAGCGGTGTAGGTGGTGAGGTGAACTAGAGCACCAAGTGGGAGAGAGGGCCCTCCGCACATACCCCAAGGAGCCCCAGGGCTTCCCACATGCTCCCACGCTTTCCTTAGAGGAGCCTGCTTCCTCGTTTTAAGGTTTATTTCACGCATATCAAGTAACTTCCCACCTTTGGTAATAAAGGCGGGGTCTGTTGGGGTGAAGTGGAATTTTCCGAGATGTTAGGGGCAGGGAGAGTTGTATCTATTTCAGTATTTCTATTTGTCCCACCCAATTCTTTTCTCCATCAGGTATCAGAGCTTCTTACTCACCTCTAGCAATCTGTCTTCCCTTCTTACAGGAACACTTTCTCTATTCTCTTCTTATACTTTTTCCAGGAAACCAGCACCAAGAGAGGACAATTTCTGTGTTCCCAAGGAAAAACCCAAAGTTAGCATTTGGCAAACACCAGGTTGGAGTCCAGGGGCTAGAAGAGTGTGTCTGAGGTGCATTTTGGTGTATGGGGATGTCTGAGAACAAGGCTTATTCTGAAGATATTCATCCTCTCCTCTGCAGAGAATCCATAAGGAACAAAGAAATATACTTGGAATTTAGGCCTTGCCAGATGAGAAGTTGTAGAAAAGCGTAAGAGGGAAAATGAGAACAGATCAACAAAGGGTACATTTAGGGGAAAAAGACATTGAATAGTATCTGTTATTCCCAAGGTACAATTTATTTTAAAAATCTTTGTTGGAAGATACCTGTGAAAGAAGAAGAGCATTTCCTAAACAGAGCCTAGATAAAACTTCCTTAATTTAATCCTTTCTTAATTCATTCCAGTTTACAATAGCCCTTCAGATTTTCGTCTCTGGGTGTCTTTCACATGATTTGTGTTTGTTGTTCCTTGGTTTGTTCATTCATTCATTCATGCATTCAATATATCTACCTCACTAGGCTTGACATTTTGTTACATTTGTGTTAGTTTTTTTTGTTTTTTTTCCTTCCATAGATTTTTCTCACAGAGAAAAGCTTAACTTCAGTGCTTTGAATCACAGTGATTTTTCTGCTTTGTGATGTCCGGAGTGTCCTATACCATCTCATACGGTTTTGCAGCATTGATCAATGGAAAAAAAAAAAAAAGGAATATCTCATGTTTAGTAAGATGGTATGAAGTTTGGAAACATAAAATGGGTCTCCTTCCTTAAGCAGCTGTGAAAGAGAACCAGGTGCCTGCTCATTGTGGTTGGTCATTTACCTTTTGGAAGACAGGAAGATGGTTTCCTGACACTTTTGTAAACTGAAGTGTTGGCCCTAACTGTTGCTTAGAGTATATGAAGAAACGTTTTTCGACTTAAAGTATATGAGGAAACAGTTGTCTAAGTCTCAGAAGAGAGACTGAGAGAGCTGGGTCAGGGACCATAGAGGATAAATCATGAGTTTTGCCTCATCATCTAATCCTACTGTCTGTGAGTTAGCAGTGATGGAAAACTCATTCTTTAAGTCACAAGCTTATTACCTCAGAAAAGAGTCAAAGCTTTGCCATAAAACTGCATTCCAACAGGTTCTTATAAACCCAGTCACTGTAATATTTATCAGATAGAAAGATGAATGCATGTGTGTTTCACAACTATCATTTGACATTAACATTTTTGCAAATTGTAAGTATTTTCAAGTTCCACCATCAAAAGCACAGTGTGGTCGTTAATTTTGACATACAGTTTGTTTAGTGTGACTATACAATTGACATACTGTTAGGTTCTCTTACACAATAACTAATCTAAGTTTTGAAGACAGAAAATGGAATCAAGCATATTACATATAAACCTTTATTATTGGGAAATGTTTAGGAGGAATGAGAAAATAAGGATGAGACAGTTTTTAAGATCTAATATTGCATAGAAACAAAGGCTTTCCTTTTGTTTATCTGATTTTGAGTTTAGTTTCAATACAATACTTCTGTTGACTTGTCTTGGGCTATTGAGGAATAGACAATCAGGTAATTCTGAATTTAGGGAGGAAAAGCTTAAAGCTATGGCTACACAAAGTCAAAATGTTCACACAAAATATGAAAATTCCAATAATATATTTTGACTACACAGAACCCTCAATTTTACTGATTTTGTGAATAATCTGAATTTATTATTTAGCCCACTAAGCCTAAGTAAGCCAGAATCTATAACTGTTGAATTGAAAGACTCAGGTAGAAAATTACTGTTATAAATTTTATCAAAGAATACTGTTAAAGTAGGTATTTCAAGACTCATATTTGATATGGATGCAAGTAGAGAAACTTAAAGTTTTTAATCATTTTTCTTTGGGGATTTTTAGATGAGTTGTTTAAAGCCTCTCCGTACATGAAATATCTATGTCTCTCTCTATCTTATTCATTAAGAAATGAGAGAAAAGGGAGAAGTCTATATAATTGTATCTATCACCATCAACAGAGTCCTATTATAGTAAAACCATCTGGAGAGGACTTAGGCCAAAAAAAAAAAAAAAATCAGATATATATGTTCTTACTGAAATAAACTTACTTCAGAATTCATCACTATGCTTGTAAGTAAGGGGATTCAACAGTCTGTGTACAATCTGAGAGACACCGAGAAATTCTTACCTTATAAGACCTCCTGAAACCTAGGTGGCTACACTGAAATTCCAAGAGAGAATGCTTTTATATGTTAGGCATTTCTCTCTTCTTTTGGGCCTCTTGAATATGGATACCCAAGGAAAGATAATATATTGTTACTAGTATTTTAATGTGAATTAATTTATACTGCATCCCACTCCAAACAGAAAAGAGCCCCAATAGCAAGAGAATATTATGACTTGTGTCCAAACATTTGTGCACATGGAGTATCCTGAAAGAGAAAAGAGGGGGTAGTGAGAGGGTCAAAGAAAACAATCCAATTCAGGATATATTCATGAATATCTCTGATTGGTAAGACAAAGTTGACCTTCCACAGTTTTACTTATTGATACCATATTGGCATCCATAAGGTGAATTATAAATTCCATCAAATGTATGAATACTGACTCCTAATGATATTGTTGTTAGTTGCCAGCTAGTGGGTTTTGCTTCATGGCTATCTTAGGTGTAATAGAATGAAACGTTGCCTGTTCCTGAGCCATCTTTTTGATCTCTGCTTTATTTGAGCCCATTGTTGTGGCTATTGACTCCTAATGATAGAAGTTGGAAAATTACTGAAGTTAAAAAAAAAATTGATTTTAGAGAAATGTTTTCTGAGAATTTATTTATGTGTGATTTAATACACGTGGGTTTAAAATATTATGTAGAATTCTTTAGTGAGTTACGTAAAGAGATTTAGCATAGTAAAATCAATAAGCCTGTGATCTCTTGGGAGCGGACAGAAGCTGAATTATGGGGCTTGTAGAATCTGCTCCAATGCTCTAGACAAAAAAAGACATCCAAAAATTGCTACTGAAATTACTTTGAAAATTATGATCTTAATAGTGTTCTCAATATTGTGCAAAAAAAAGAAAAAGTTGATCTTGCTTCATCTCTTCTCTCTTCTGCATTCCTCAGAATATCAAATAGATTAA